GCTGCTAGTGGATCGCCGGAGCTGATAGATTAACATTAACATGCTTATTGTAGTGCTGTGCACTGCCTTGTGGCCTGTAGCACCATCCTTGATGGAGCATATGGAAAGGAGTGAGCAGAGAGGGTAGAGTTGTCGATTCTTGTTCTGTTTTGTGTGACTATCTTCCTCAACCTCTCAGACTTTCAGTTGCGCGCGCTACTAAAGAGCTAAAGAGACGCGCTACCATGGAAACCAAACAATGGTGTAGCTGTATTAAAGTCCGAGTGGAAACAGTCCTGAGTAAATCTGATCTTGTCAGAAATCGGGAGAAATGCGGGAGAAATATGACCCCGGGAGGAAACCGGGAGAGGGCAGTGAAATCGGGAGTCTCCCGCGAAAATCGGGAGGGTTGGCAAGTATGGGTGCAGCCGGTGCAACGCACCGGGGTCCAGAGCCGGCCAGTGGCCCAGAGCCGACCAGGGGCCCATGCAAAAACAAATATATTTTTTAATTTTTTTTATTTGGGGCCCAAATGGCATTGAACGGTTCACGCAGTCTTCAAAGTAACCAAGCAACCTAAATTAATTTGTAATTTGTCTGTCCAATGACCTTGCTCCCTTTCATGTCATGTGATACCTTGCATGACGAGCGAGCCATTTAATCAATCTCAAAGGTTATAGGTAGTGTAGCTAGCAGCAGCAAGTTCGGCAGTATTATACAAATTATAATAGCTTGCATTTATAATGTACAGCAAACCAAAGCACAAGAGCGGCGCTCAAAAGAGAAAGGACAAGAGAGAACAAGGAGATGTAACGAAAATTTGACCGTTTTTTTTGTCATACATCGTCCTCGAAATCGAGCGCTAACATTAGCAATGTCGACGTGCAGCGGCAGCCGGAGCTGGAGGCTAACGATAGCTCACCTGCTTCACCACGATCATTGCCATAGCTCCACAAGTGAAGCTGTATCCGTGGCTGTGCGATCTTCTTCTCCAGCCAGCCATGAGGAGAGGCTGGATTTGGCTGTGCCCGGCGGTGGTCCAACAGTTCCCCCAAGGGCCCCAACCGATAGGGGACTCTTTGGCTATTGAGACCCCCGACGCCAAGATCAAAAGCTATATTATAGCAACCGGTACATGTAGGCCTACCGGCTCATTCCCCAGAGACAAACATCAAGGAAACAGGTGTAATCCTCTTCTTAGTTCGCTGTGCCGTTGTCAGGCTGTGGTGGTTTGAAGCCAGGGCAGGTTGTTGTTGATAGCCTACATGTGGCGCTTCTGAGTGATTGTGTGTGTCCATGCGTCTGTGAGTGCATCAGTGTGCGCTTATGTTTGGGGCGATAGGGGGTGGGGAGCCCCAAAACAATATTTGTACCGGGGCCAATCACAACCTTGTTACGCCACTGACACGACCCCAACACAATTAGAATAAAACTATGCTTCTTGTGTATGATTTAAGGATGTCTGTCTTAACTTTTGTGCTGCCAACCTTCATGTGTGTCAGTGACTATGGAGAAATCCAGTTTTACACATTTTGAACTTTATGTGTTCTGTTTAAACGGTTGAATGGATCACAGTCAACAGTCAATTTCAGTGTAGATAAAATAATCATCTCATGAAGTTAATTTATAAAGCAATGCTGTTAAAGCTTTCATACTACTCTCTCCTCTCATTTAAATCGAATAACTTTAGTACACCATCCAGTTATTGCCTAACCTATACCTGTATGCACAGATTTAGGCACAACTGGTTTCAGGCACCTTTTAAATGCAATGACCAGTCAACAGCCCTACAGCCAGATTCTTGTATTCTACTGGGAGATTTCAAAGCTTCAGTATCTGATGTTTTTCATGATTTCTGTTACTATTTAAACTAATTCTTATTGTGTTGTTTCTGTTATGATGGTGATCTTTTTCTAAGGTCAAAGAGAGCTTAATCTCAAAAAGACCACCTGATTAAACTATTACAACTAAAATATTGCCACCATTTAACTAAATATGCTTTTTGTGATGCATATACAACCCTAAACTATCTTTAGGTCTACACATTTTCAGCATATAAATCCTGCTTAAAACGTCTTCCATCTTTGTTCCTACCCTTGCCTATTGTCACGAAGGTTGGGTCATGACCAAAATAACATGATGGATATAAGCGGCTAAACAAGTTTTCTCCAGAAGGTGGCTGACAACTCCCTTGGGAATAATGTCAGTTCATTAATCAGGGAATGCCTCGGAGTAGAGCCGCTATTCCTTTGCATAGAAAGGAGCCAGTTGAGGTGGTCCGGACACCTCTTCACACTGGCCTGTGGCTGTGAGTGCTTTGGAATCCCCCAATAAGCTGATTGATGTGGCCAGTGAAAGGGACTTTGGGGCCCCCTTTTCTGCATTCCCTTCACTGTCTAGAAGTCCATGCACATGGAGAGCTGTTGTGGGTCAATTATTGTGGTGCTGTTGCCGCGGGAATGATGGTTCCGCCTTCCGCGGGTTCCTGACATCCAATTGCCGATCCTTCTGGTGATGCCACTGGGACCGCCATGCCCACTCCACCCCCCATACCCATTCTCCCTGCCAACGGCACTCCTGTTATCCCCACCGGTCGCCGATCCCTCCTCCAGCAAATCCCTGACGCCCCCCCCTTCCCATCGCTCCAACCAATGCTCCTCGTCCTCCACCACGCCATACATCTCACATTGGGTCTCCTGAGGAGAGGGGCTGACCCAGGACCAGGTGGAGAGATAATGTCTCCCTGGGAGCGCCTTGGAATCCCCCCAGCTGGTTAAAGTGGCCAAGGACACAGGGCTTCCCCCAGGACCCTCTCCCCCAAACAATATCCGTCTTACCTTGTTGTGACATATCCGTCTTAGGTGTGTGGCCATTTATCTTGGTGATAAAGAAACAGAACAGCTCAGACAGGAAGGTGAGTATGCTCTCATTTAATTCAACAGAATGAAATAATACAACCAGTGGTTCAAATCATAAATCCCATTTAGGCTACATGTCCGTCTCCTCATGGAAACAGGTTGTGCTTGTTTTACACACTCAGTTCATTAGGGGAATTGAGAAATTATATTTTCTCCTGCTAAGGGGGTTTGGGAGTGGGGTGGTTGCTATTTTTGATTCAGTCCAGGACTCAAACCACACATTTTTATATTCCATAAATGATCACTCAAAGCCATAACGCCCATATGCTATAAAGTTCACAGAGCAAGAATAGACCTTTCTCTCTCTGTATTTCTTACTAAAATAAGTCTCTACATGTGCTCTTCCTGAGGAGAGACTGAATGGAGTTTATCTTCCAATTATGTGTAAGGTAACCATTAAAATTACAGAATTATTAGTTATATCATATCGTTAACATCGTCATCATCATCATCAGCCTCATCATCATCACCATCATTAAATCATCTGAGCAACACCTGTAAAAGATTAAGGAGTTAAAAGCCAAGCGTCGTCATGAGGCTGGATATATACTGGTTTTAACAGTACAGTACACTGACAAAAAATAAAGACTCAAATTATTAGAAGACACACTATATATCATATATCTGTGCATGACAGGTGAATAAATGTAGAAACTCAGTCAGGGGTGTGTCTTCATCTTTTTTCTCTCTTTGTTTCTGAATGGTTACCTGGTCGTATCGGCTCCCAAACAGAGAGAAGTCTGGGTCTGCATGCAAGAATCCTCTTCTTATGAAACGGACAGATTACATGAGTTTTAGACCGGAGGAGATATAAGATGTCTCCTGCACCCTACATCGTTCAGAATCCTTAATAATGGAACCATAAATCCGTTTTTTTTTGTGTCTTTTGGATCCTATTCGTTTTCCAACCTTCAGGCGACTGTTTGAGAGAAGATCCTTAAGTGTGCAATTATTTTATTACTGTTTAAAGGGCAAAGGCAGAAGTGGGAAGAGGAGTGATCAATTTAAGATTATTGTGATCTCTCCTGTCTCCTTTTCTTCTGTCTTTTCTTCCGATGAGTCAAATTCAAGACATTCCGTTCCTCGTCTAGAAGTCCATGGACATGGAGCGATGGTTTGGGTCAACTATTGTGGTGCTGTTGCGAGCGCTGTTGCCGCGGACACTGAGGGTTCCGCAGGCTCCTGCCATCCCACCGCCGATCCCTCCAGCGATGCCACTGGGCCCTGCCATGCCCGCTCCTCCCCCCATACCCATTCCCCCTGCCATCGCCATTCCTCCTGTGATCCCCACCGGTCCTCCGATCCCTCCTCCTGCAATCCCTGACGGTCCTCCTCCCATGGTTCCCATCGGTCCCATGGTTCCACCCGTGGCTCCTCCTACACCGCGGCCGTAGATCTCACATGGGATCTCCTCTGTGACGCGGTCCTCGATGACCTGCTGGTCGCAGTCGTGAGTCTGTGAGTGCTGCTTGTAGCCGTAGCAGCTCTTCTTGTAGCTGGACGTGGAGTTGAACGTCTTCATGGGAGGTGGCTTGGAGAAGTCGTTGTGGTAGGACAGCTCCATGGAGCTCAGGGTGGTGCGGCTGTGCTTCATGCTGCCACCACCGCCGGTCGCCATGGAGCCGCAGTGGTGCTCGTGCACGCAGCGGGACATGGTGGAGGAGCGCCGCAGCTTGTGGAAGTTGTCCAGCTCCTCGGAAAGGTCGGCCATATCTGAGGAAATCTCCTTGTCACGCAGAGAGAAGAGCTCGTAGTGGGGCGGGTCGAACACCTCCTGGAAGCCCGCCTTGTTGAAAACACCGGGCCTGCGAGCTACCACCTGGAGAAGAAGGATATCCATTTAGACCGTTAAGATTTAAGGATTAGAAAGTCTAGTTTCCACAATGATAAAAAGGGATGTCACATATTTCTGTGTACTACTCAATTTAGCAACGTTTGAAACAAGCCGATGATGGTTGGTAGATCGTTTCTATGTTGCCAGACCACTGTGCATCAAATCTGATTATGTATAACAAATACATATACAAAATTATGTATCATAGTAAGATTTGAAATAAAATTTTCAGGGTTTAGAAAGGCGGTAGGATTAAAGGGGATGAAAATAAATATCCACCCTAATATATATAGGAACTTCAAGCATCTTGCCTTTTAAATATTTGTGTTATTTTTTTCCTTTCATTAATGGGTAATCAATGACATAATATTAGTTTTCTTGTGATTTGTGTTCACCTATTTAAATAGTAAGCTACTTATTGTCAAAAATACAGCAGCTCAGCTAGATTCAACCTTTTACAAAATGTAAAAAAATAACAGAGACAAGTTAATAGGAGAACAAAAATTAGCTGCTAATGGTAGCCACCAGAGTGTGTTGCAGCTCCGGTTTTGGCTACGCGTCACTCTCACTACTTATTTGGTAACCTGTGTGTGTATGTGGAACTTTCCCTCGATTTCATTGGCGCTAACGGTTCAAAAGAGATGTCAATCATCAAAATCGACTAATGGGTTCCAGAGAAACGGCAACAACGCCCATTTCCAACCAAATGGCCCCAGAGGTGGAGTTTTTTTTGCTAAACCTCTCTAAAAAGGTCAAATGTCACTTGTTTTGCATCAATCTTGATACAGGGTACTTATGATATGTTGTACTTTTGGATTCCTTAAAGCTTTTTACTCTACTAACCCATCATCAAGGGTAGTTTTCACCACTATAAGTAAAAAATAATCTTTGGGACGGAGACACTACTAAGTTTTACAGTTTTTCTACTATGTTCAATCTCTGAATTTTCTTAAAATAAAAAACATTATACTTTGATTCTGACTGTTCTACATCCAATTCACAGTTTATCATTACTTTGAGAAAAAAGATTATTAATGTTCCCCTTTTAGAAGGGAAGATATGGTCATTTGTTCTGGAAATGTCATTTTCGAGCCTGAGACCTGAAAAACAGGCTTGGGGTCTAACAGGTTAAACAAAAGAGACAATAACCTTGAAATGACACATCGCCTGTTGTCATGATCTTGTTTTTTGTATTTGCTTTCTGTTTTTACTTCCTGTCCTTTCTGTTTTCCCTCCTATTTTCTCTATTATTTGTCCCAGCCTTATTAGTGCCACCTGTTCCCCATTAGCCCTTCAACCACCCGACCTCTTGTACACCCGCACTCTATCTCCTCATTAGTTCTGCTTGTATTGAAGTCCTGGTTTTCTGTTAAGGCTTTATAAGATCCTTGTTTGTTGTGTAACAGGGTAGATCTGTTAGGTTCTGTTTGTTTTGCCTTTATTTCCAATAATGAAAGTTTCTTCTGTTCTAACTTCCTGCGTTTTAATCAAACCTGCTTCCACCTATGTTGAACTGGATTATCCTTTAAATGGTGTCTAATGGTGTGAAATCCCCGGGTGTATTTAGTATTCTCTCCTCAGTCTCTATAGCACCTCACCATCACTTTCAATGATGTGTCTCCTCTTTCCTGCTGAACAAAAGGTCAACCACAGAGGGTGGGTTACCTTTTTCCTCGGCTGCTTCATCTGGACCAGGATGGAGATGATAAGAAGAACCAGCACGATGCCTGACGAGACACCAATGACGGTACCGTGGGTCTTAGTGATCTGATGAAAAATACCCTTAGATCGCTTCTCTGGAGGAAGAAGAGGGTGAGGACAGGGAATAAAGAATGATACAAAATGGAGAAAACCAAGCCTACGAAACCTGCAGAAATAAATCCTTTTCAACCATAATATTTGGTAAAGGTTGGCAGGAGGAGGAAGATTACCTTTGCAGTGGTTTTCATCCCATGGGTAGACACAGTTCTGAACTCCATTGCACACCAGGGAGTTGTTAATACACATGTTGCTGTGGCAGAAGAATGAATTGCCTGAACAGGGGGCTGCGGGCAAAAGACAATACACAGAGAGAAAAGGGGAACAAACATTACAAATGAGAAATAAGCAGCTGTCTGACGGTGCTGGGTAAATTATGATACTCTTTGAAAGGAACTGGAAGCTATTTTGATGATAACGAGAAAACGGAACAATAAATAAAAGGTCGATAATGTCGCTGTAGGAGTCTGCAGGGGCAGGTTATAAAAGTACTATTGTTCTGTTATGAAACAAATGTGAAGAGAGTCCACACAAGGCCATTCATCATCATTCCCTGCAGACATCAGGGGGTGATGAGGGGAGGATATGTTAGCTTCACTGAGCTGCAGCCTTCATGTCGAGGGAGAGAAAGGGAGAGGGGTTGAAGCTGGAAAACTAAGAATAAGGCAGGGAAGGAGAAATATACAAAAGATAAAAAGAAAAGCATGGCGTGGGGTGGTGGTTGAAATGGCTTCATGTGTGGTACAAATGTTCAGGCAAGTGGCGTGAAACAGCGCACATTAAAGTGACTGCTGGCGTATAAAGGCTGTGCTGGCAGAGACGGAGATGGCGAGTAATTGAGGCTGGCTGCTGGGCTCAGGAGATCAATGCACTGCCAGGCTGAAGGAGCGGCTGCAAGAATTTGGAAAACGCAGCTAGGGTTTGGTGTAGACGATTTGGTGCTGCAGCAAAATGTGAGGGACACCTGGTTCTTATGAGAGGAGTGGGGATAGAAATAGCTGAAGTCTGTTGATAAGCAGATGCATAATATTTGTTTTATTTTTTATTCTGGCCCAATGAATTGTGTGGCAGGCAGGCACAAACGGTTGATCATTAATACAAAGTTCATTTTTCTGTTTTGATATATTAAAGTCAAAAACAGAGATCCCTCCCTTCTATCTCATCATCCCTACGTCCCTTCTACCCTCATCCCCCAAACCCCTCGACCATATAGTCCTTCCTCCTTCTCTCCCTTTCTTCATTCACTGATCCCTGTAGCACTAAATCTTAAATCGCAAATTTGAACAATTCCCATCAAAAACTATTTTGAGGGGATAAAAAAAGGAAGAAATCGAAGTCAGCGTAACAGAAGGGAGGGCCCTCAACCAAGACCGACAGACAATCAATACATGCCATGTGTACAGAAAAAGATGAATACTAAAAATCTTGAAAAATAACATTATAAGATAGATTGCAAAATGATATCAAAAAGCATGGACAGAAAAGATTATGCCAAAAACAGTCAGGAAGTGCACACGCCCTCTTCCCTACTACAAACGTGGAGGGATTTCTCCTTATTTTCTTGGTCAGTATCACAGCAAGAGCATCATGACAGGGGAAGGCCTGTACATTATACCCAGCCTTCAGTCTCTTTGGCCCGTTCTCTCTTCCACCAGCCGCTTTCCCCCAATGTTCCACCTCTGGATTTGCAGCCGCTGAGTCTTTATCACAGCTGAAACAGACTGTGGTCCGCTCCACCAGCTTCACCCTCTGCTCCGAGGTCCACTGTGATTATGTGAGTGTGTGTGTGTGTGTTTATGCGAGTGAGAGGGTCCACCCCATCTATCTCCTTATAGACCGAGCCTCTCCTCTGACACTGTGATCGCTTCCAAACCCATTATGTGTGTCCCGCCTTCAAAATGTAGCCTTTCACACAGGGTGTCAACAAGGCTTCACCCTCTTACCCCCACCTTCCTTCCACACACACACATACTCACAATGGGTGTGTATGCCAGTGTGCCTGTATGTGTGTTCAGTAGCATCCTAATATTTTGGATTTAGAGGTGCTTCTGTTGGATGGTTATAGAACATTATGGGTTTGTGCACCCTTTTCTCTGAGAAAGGTGCTGGCAGATCTTCCTTCCAGTGTTTCATCAAAAAACAATCCCAGTGCTTTTTGTATTGTTTCAATGAGAACGACATCTCAATAATGTATTACTGCTATTGACAAGCATTTCTTCTAACTTCTAGTGAGGTCACAAGCCCTTTTCTAAAAAGTAAAAAAATGTCAACTCTGTGCTCAGAGTGATCGCATAGAAACCGCTGAAACAGACTGTGGTCCGCTCCACCAGCTTCGCCTGTTGAAGAGCTGTTTCTTGAATTGGCTGTATGTGACGAGATGCTCTGTTCTCATTGGAAACATTTGAAATAAGAGGCGGGTTCAGAGAAAAAGGCGCCATTTGGAAATGAAGACAAAGTGCAGGAGGCAAACCTCAAGTTGTTCTCTGAGTGACAAAGACGAATGGCTCCCTAACCTCTAAGTAAACTTTGAGACAGTCCCTGACTCTGAACAAATACTCTGAAATGAACTATGTGATCAGAATGAATGAGGATCCAAACGGTATTAAGGACTCTCAGATAAAAAAAAAAGAATACAGCCTTACTGAATTTAAAAGGCCATTAGGTTTAAATGGTTCTGGGTTTGCTGATGAAAACACCATTAGCATTCACCTAGGATTTGGGACTTGTGCAGTAGAATGTGGTAATTAATTTCTCCGTCTATTCAGGCATTTCATGCAAATATTACGGTGCTAACAGAAAAAATGTTTCCAGAATGGTAATTCCTGCTACTCTATGAGAAACCTCTAACAGCATCCGTTTGAAAGTTTTTTGTCCTTCAGAAATGATAAAACTTAATGTATTAATACTGCCATTAGATAAATGAACCCTACTTTTCTTTTCACCAAAATAGATACATTCCTATTTTCCTTTGTAAGCGGCCTATAATAGCCACTGTATCACGATGTGACATGCATATCAAAACATTTCCTACTTTCTGGTATTTTCAAATCCTGGAATACATAATTGGTTTTCTCCTATCTATGCTATAAACATGGCACAGTGTAATTAGCTTTCCTCTCGGAGTTGACAGTTGATACACAGTGTGTGTTAGTGCCTACTGATGCAGGCAGAAAGCAGGACCTCATAAATCAACTGTTCTTGTATCTGTTTCTGTGTGTGGGTGGATACAGCTTTTAATCCATTACAGAGTGTCAGAGAGAGAGTTATGAGGGGCAACTGGAATGGAGCTTTGTCTATTAGCGATCAGTATTCTTCTGAACACAATCAGATCTAACTGTCACAAAGCAGGCAGTTCTCTTTCACTTTGTACTTAATACCTATGGAAAGTAATGCAATATCATTTGTAAATAACCCACAAAGTTGTGAGCCAAGACGTGATGGGCTGCCTCCAAGGAAGTCAGCTGACGTATCATAGAGAGGAAGACGATGTGGGTGTATTGGCTAACAGGTTCTGCACTGCAGGGACTTGCAGAGGCAGTGAGTGCTGATGTTTCTGGACTTTCTTTGGAAAAAAAGGGTTCACATTCAACTATCACTTGATGTATTGTCCTGCTTCGTCATAAAGATTAGTTTTAAGTGTAATGCAGGCAAAGCAGACAAACAATCAGTTCAAAATCAATCACTGTGTAATGTATGGGATTAGTTTTGTATCATAAAGCAACACTTTCTCAGAATAAAGCAAAACTATGACTTTAAAAGAAAAAAAACTGAGTCAAGCAAAATAAAATAAATTTCAAAAATAAAACTATAAGTTGCAAACAAATCATTTGTGTAATCATGTAAACCAGTGGTCACCAACCTTTTTAAGCCCAAGATCACCGACCTCAGCCTAGGTGAAAGGCGAGATCTACCTATTGCAGAATTGNAAAGGCCAGATCGGTTCGCTGACGGCCGGCACCGCCCTTTATTATTATATTGTTTAAACGGCATCATGTTGAGCTGACAGGCGACACAGAGGTCCACGGACCGTGGACCTCTGTGTCGCCTGTCAGCTCAACATGATGCCGTTTAAACAATATAATAATAAAGGGCGGTGCCGGCCGTCAGCGAACCGATCTGGCCTTTCTGCACGACTGTCACTGAAATGCGGGAAAAATTATAAAAATGCTGTGTGCAGTCCCGCACAAAGCGAGACACCTGGTCACCCTACACACACACACACACGGTGGTGCCCCTCACAAACACACGCTTCAAATCAAGTTGCATAAATGCTTGAGCTACGTTTTTATTATAATTACTGTGAAATATGCCTATTATATTTTCGTCATTATTACAACAAATACACACTTGCAACTGATACCACTACCACCGGCAATGATTTTATATGTATTAGACGGTAAAAAAAAATCATGCTTCAAATAAGTGGGGGTACGGCGTACCCCCGCGTCCAACGTCCACTACACCACTGATCATATGTATTATTGCTACATAAACATTATATTGCAGTTTTAGTTTCGTCAACTCCATTTCTAATATGCAATAAGAGTACAAAATGCGTATGATGTATTTTCGATCTTTCCAATCCAGACGAGAGATCTCTCTCCCCCGTCTGTGTGTGAGAGGGTGGGGCAGTTTACACACACGCGGCTGCTACATGCATCCAACACACACACACACTATACTTGCCAACCCTCCCGATTTTCACGGGAGACTCCCGATTTCATAGCCCTCTCCCGGTTTCCTCCCGGGGTCATATTTCTCTCGCATTTCTCCCGATTTCTGACTAAATCAAGATTTACTCAGGACTGTTTCCACTCAGACTTTATTACAGCTACACCATTTTTTGGTTTCCATGGTAGCGCGTCTCTTTAGTAGCGCGCGCAACTGAAAGTCTGAGAGGATGAGGAAGATAGTCACAGAAAACAGAACAAGAATCGACAACTCTACTCTCTCTGCTCACTCCTTACCATATGCTCCTTCAAGGATGGTGCTACAGGCCGCAAGGCAGTGCACTTAGAACTACAATAAGCATGTTAATGTTAATCTAACAGCTCCCCTCCCCCCGCGGTGGTTTTGAAATGCTCCCGATTTCTGAGGACTCAAGGTTGGCAAGTATGGCTGCACCGGCTGCACCGTCGATAGTTACGCCACTGGGTCGTGTTGGATATTAATCTTGAGCGACTGTCAGATGTCGAGCCAAAGTGTTTGCATGACTCAACCAGTGTAATTTTCCCTATTGTGCTTTTGGGGGTTCTCCCTTTCCTGTAGTGTTTTATATTGTTTTAAGTGCATGTTAATGTTCCCTCCAGAAGGATATGCTCTCCTACACATACCCCCCCCCCTGCCGGAAAGGCCTCCATTGGAC